GTCCTGTAATAGTTCCGACAACCATTCTGATTTCCGGTCTGCTAAGACTGATCAGTCTGCAGGTTAGTCGTGGCGTGACTTGATTCAGCACCAGTTTGGACTGTCTGCAGCCGGGTGAGTTTTTCCACCTCCGGTTGTGTGCTTCACAGGTCCGTTGCCTGACCCAGCATCGTATTTGGTTAAACGATATGGGCAGGAGTGGGGTTGGGCCAGAGGTTGGGGTTGCCGAGCCCCTCCTTGCCAACTCATCTGCGGCATCGTTCCCGTGTGAGTTACTGTGCCCTTTAATCCATTGGAGGAGTACCCCATTGAATATAGCGAGCTGTTCCAGTGCTTGGTGGCATTCGAGGACAACACCAGAGGTCATTGTGTTGCCCTCCAATGCCTTTAAGACGGCCATGCTGCCGGATATTATTCGGATGTTGTAGTCCTTGATACCCCTTGACATGGCCGTTGTGGCGGCGTAAGTTATTGCCACACATTCACATTGAAATATGGAGCTGTGTTGGCCTAACGCTAGTGATATGTTTATATTTAGGTCTTGCGAGAAAATGCCGGCTCCAGTTCCTGACCTAGTCTTGGAACCGTCCGTGTAAATTCGGACTTCGTTAATGCCGGATTGATCTCGGTCATTTCCATGTATCTGGATGTAGTATCTTCTTGTGAAGATATGGTGTTTTGGGATTCTATCGCATGGAGCTGCTATCAGTGGTTCGTATTCCACCAATTGATCCCATAATTTAGAGTGCGATCCCTCCCTTTTGTGCCATAGACCTAGGTGTTTGAGTCTAATGATCGCCATGGCGGCCTCCTGCTGTATGAATAGATCCAGGGGTGGCAGACCAAGAGCCACCTCCAGTGCGGCAGTAGGCGTTGTGCGCATACAGCCAGTGACCGCGGAGCATGGGAGTCGCTGGAATTGCTGCAGTTTGTTTATGACGGTGCTTAGCTCTGTTCTCTGCCACCAGACAACAGCACCGTAAGTGATTATTGGTCTTATGACTGTCCTGTATAGCCATAAAGTAATTTTGGGTGATAGTCCCCAGCTTTTGCCGAGTAGCCGCTTGCATTGGCAGAAAATAATGCAGGCTTTATTCAATTTTTCATCGAGGTGCTTATTCCACAGGAGTTTACTGTCCAGTATTACTCCTAGGTATTTGACCTCTTTGGTAAGAGTAAGTTGTGTTCCAAATAGCTTGGGAAGTCTGAGATTTCCTAGGCTGCGTTTGTTTGTGAACATGATCATCTCTGTTTTGGATGGGTTCACTGTCAGGTTGTGTGCTGCGCACCATTGTTCCACGATCTTCAGTGCAAGTCTCATTTGATCGCATGTAATGCTCTCAAAAGGACCGCTGATGAGAATGGTAAGATCGTCTGCATAGCCTATTGTGAGGAATCTTTGGTCATTAAGTTGTGCGATGAGCTCATCCACAACAATGTTCCATAGAAGGGGGGAGAGTACGCCGCCCTGGGGGCAACCTCTAGCCACCACTCCTCTAGTCACTTCGCTCACAGTGAATTGTATAGCTCTATAACTTAGCATGCTGTCGATCCACCCTGAGATTGTGGAATCAACACCATGCCTAGACAGAGCTTGGCTAATGCTGGTGAAGTTGGTCTTGTCAAAGGCTCCCTCGATATCGATAAAGGTGGCCAGTGTTGACCTTTTGTGATTTAGATTGTCTTCTATATATGAAACAACTCGATGTAGGGCAGATTCTGTTGATTTACCCATCGAGTATGCGTGTTGATTGAGGTGTAGAGGATGACTGACTAACGCAGTTTCCCTGATACGGGGGTATGGGCTGTACACGGGGGTTGTCCGGTCAATGGCACTGTACGGTGCACCGGTGTGGGCGGCGGCTCTGACCGCCCAGAATAGGGTACGCCTCTGGCGCCCTCAGAGGGTAATGGCGGTCAGAGCCATACGCGGTTACCGCACCGTTTCGACGGAGGTGGCATGCGCGTTGGCCGGAACTCCCCCGTGGGATTTGGAGGCGGAAGTGCTCGCCGAAGTTTATCGGCGAGTGACTGACTCCCGGGCGGAGAGCGGATTTCGCCCTCCGCCCGAGGATGTGCGCGAGTGGCGCGAAGCCGCTCGCCGAGCCACGATGGCTCGTTGGTCGTTCCGGCTGGAGACTCCGCGCGCTGGCTTCGCCGCCGTGGAGGCTCTCCAGCCGGTCATCGCCGAGTGGGCAGGGCGGCAGCACGGGACCCTTTCCTTCCGGCTGACGCAGGTGCTTTCCGGGCACGGTTGCTTCGGAAAGTACCTGCACTCAGTCGCTAGGAGGGAACTGAGTCCCGCCTGCCACCACTGCGACTGCAGTGAGGACTCGGCCCAGCACACGCTGGCGGTCTGCCCCGCATGGGCGGCGCAGCGCCGGGCCCTCACTGCAGTCATCGGAGTGGATCTCTCGCTACCGGCCGTAGTACGCTCCATGGCCGGTAGCGACAGTTGTTTTACCGCGGTCGCAACCTTCTGCGAGGTAGTAATCTCGCGAAAGGAGGCGGCGGAGAGGGCCCGGGAGGACGACCTCCACTCGGACCCGATCCGCCGCCGGCGAACCGGGCGGCGGAGGCCCGCCTATCACAGCCTCATGCCGCCCTGAGTGTGGCCGCGGGTGGACGGGGTGGGTTTCCCCTCCACCCGCATTAGTTTGGCCAGCCGCGAGGGGGCGGCGTCCGCGTGTGCCGGACGTCGCCTAAAGAGAGGAAAAAAAAAAATATATATATTGAGACGGAGCCCGCACCAGGAGCGGGCTGGCGCTAGGAGGGGTCCGGATGTCTTAACAACAGCTGTTCCCGGATCCCTCCTGTTACAGGCGCAGAGTGGCACACCGTGTGGTTTTCTTCTCTTCTTAATCTATCACAACACATATAGTTTTATTTACATTATACACACATTGTCCGTGTGGTGACGGACTAAGAATACAGAGTGTCACCACCCCTATTCATCCCGTGGGTGTCGTAAGAGGCGACTAAGGGAGCAAACTACGCAGGACAACAGCACTGCAGAGAGAAGGAAAACTTGAAACAAACCCTATACCAACCCCTCTGGCCAGCGTGGTATAGTAGGCCAAAACCTCCTTTCTAAGGAGAGGCCTATGTTCTGCAGTGGACTAGTAAAGGCTGTTGATGTGATGATGATTACATTATAAATATAGCATAGGTTACTATTAGTTGTTGAGCACAGATTTATCTACGTAAATAGGTAATAAATTAAATAATTAACGAAGTAGGTATTTATTATTAGCCGACAGACTAGTTTGCTATCTCTGTCCTACAGAATCGACGGGCTCATACACCACATCGCTTAAAATTAAATAGTCGTTTTATTTTGTTAGTCACCCGTATAAGCTTAGTTAAGAAAAACATTTCTTTCTAAATAGCAATGTCAGCATTTAAAATTTGTGCTAAAACACACAAGTTCTTTAACATTGTAATTAAACTTCTTGTTAGGCAATTTTTCATTTGTTAAGTAAAAATGTTGCAAGTACAGCCGGTGAAGTTTATCTATATACTTGGACCACATATCTGTCATTGGGAGAGAACTTTCCTTGAACACGCGTCTAACTTGCTCCAATATTGTCGCCATTCTAAACGATGGATATATCCTTGGCTCTTTCTGCAGTGATACAGCAAAAATAAGACAAAGGAGATACTTGGGTAAAGGATTAGTGACTAAAATGAAACGAATTGTTCCATATTAAAGAATTAATTGGTTGAAAAATTGTCCCAATCGCGCTACTCGTGCGTAACCTAGTAGAACGGCAGGCATGATTGAGGAAGCAAGAAATTTCTGTCTGGGTATTCCCAGCCTCTATGCTACAAAGGAAATTTAAAAATTGCCTCCAGCCTATCCGTACAGACTGGCTATTTAGTCTAGTGGTTAGTGGTCCTGGCTAAGGTCGTGGGTTCGATCCTCACCCAGGACATAATGGTATAATTGTTTGATAGCACGATTATTCTCGGCGGTCGGTTTAATTTTGTCTATCTACAAAATTGTATGAGTCGAAGCATGAACAAATATATAAATTACCTACCTATAGATTTTTATAAACGCGGGACTTCCCCGCGTCTAACCGCGGGGCATTACCGTGTCACGTGAAGTGAACACATACAAAGCTTGTACGTATGTATGCTCACTGAGTGAAGCAACATTCATTCGTTCAATTCACATTGCCTTATTGCATCATCCAAAGAACTAGTAAGCTAGGGATGTGATCAGTAAGATTTAAGCGAATCGAATTAATATTCATAGAATTTCTGAATGCACATTTAATCGAGGTTAATTTTACGATCCAATGTTTAAATTATACTTCTCATTGCAGTAAAACTTCTTAAGTCTCAACTAGTTCAGAAGATTCATGTTAATAGTCGAAAATGAATTAACGGGCCAAATTTAAATTTAAAACAAAAAAACGATATAGCAATGCGGTGTGCAATTTATTTTTCCTGAGGTATGTGGTCAGACCAGATTTTTGACGAACTGCGCGGTCCAAAATGACTATCCATACTAATATTATAAATGCGAAAGTGTGTCTGTCTGTTACCTCTTCACGGTAAACCGCTGAATCAATTTAGACGTAATTTTTATGTGACTTTTTACCGCGATAACCGACATACACGCGGGCGGAGCCGCGGGCAAAAGTTAGTTTGCATAATATTGTCTGATTGATGACTGAGACGTGTTTTTTTTGCTATGACACGCTTTTGAAATACGATGATTACACATAATTCTAGTACCAACAACATTGACACGAAGTGTATTTTAATATGCAAAATATTTGTTTATTATACTGAAGAACTATGTACTAAAAAGCAGCTGGCTTAGTTCATAAAATATCTGAAAGATCGATAATATTCATTCTGAAAATCGTTCGACTGGACATCATTAAATGGCCGGCCGGCACTCTCTAGTTCTCCATTCGCTGAACGTCAATTTATCGCATTGCACGTACACATCGTTTTTGCATTCTGGTGTCCATTTTGTTTGTGAAATGTTGAACGAGAAATTAATTTTGTTGGTAAAAGAAAGAAAATTGTTATATGATTCGTGTGACGTTGATTATAACAATAGAATTAAAGTAAGGAAAGCATGGCGGGAAATAAAAAGAGAAATGGGAAGTGAAAATGGTAAGTATTTTGGTGTTTTGAATTTTATATTTTTAGATTCAATATTACTTAGAATTTGTAACAATCATATTAGTGAACCTGTAGAGCTAAAGCTAAAACGGTTAGAGGCTTTTATTTGTTGTTCTAGAATGTTTCACATGCAACATGTTGCTACTTGAAACAACAAGTATAAACTTGATCCCAACACGTCCTATCTGTATATATGTCGAGATGAGTCATGTGTACTTATTGAATAGACGTGAATATAAATACATAAAAACGTTTTATTTTGTTCGTACTTTGTTCCTGGGCTATTTTTAGATTTCCTCTTTATCTTGGGATAATTGTCAATGATACATTTTTGTTGCGTCATCATTTACTGTCTCAGAAGTATAAAATACACTGAAATTAATGTAATCCAAAAAAACCGTTCCCGTTACTGGTTCTCAATAAGTAATTGACCTAACGAGGAAAAATATGTTTAAAAATCAACTATGCTTATCGCATGAATATAATCTCCAGACAGCTACGACATGAAACGTAATTAAAGATAGATATATAGATAGGACTGTATTTGTAAATAAATATTTTGCATTGTGATATTTTAGCAAATTAAACAACAACAAACAAGTGGAAATAAGCAATTAGCGGTCAGAACTGATTTGACATACATTCAATTAATTAAACAAAGCTATAAATTGTTTTACAGGGCAACATTGGGCAAAGAAATGGAGAAATCTACGTAACTTTTATAAGAAATTTAAGAAGCGTAGGGAAGCATTGCCTAAGGTTATTGGAGTGCATAACAGGAATTGGAAATTAGCAGAGCAAATGGCATTTTTAGATGATTATGAGCTGATTAAATTAAATAAAACTAATAAGACGAAAAACAGAGGGAATTTGATGGTTCCAAGTAACCCTCCGAAAATGACTGAAAACAATAATGACACGGCAAAAATTGTACAATGCCTGCGTCGTGAAAATTTCAAAAAAACCAAATCGTCTGATATATGTAATTTATTCAAAAGTTATGAGAATTTCTTGAAAGATTTGCCGGTTCGGATGCAACGTTCCTTCAAATTCGATATGGCTTCAACTTTTGCTAAATATCAATCACGTTTACTGAAGAGTTATGGGGCGATAATGTTATCTACGAAGCCAATCGCTCAGAACCCCAATCAGAAATTTTTGTCTTCTGAAATCCAAGCATCAGATGGGTCAGGTTTGTTACTGCAAGATAATAAAATGTTACTTGATGATGTCATAATTTGTTATAGATTACATCTGCCCTCTAGAGTATACAAAACCTGACCTACGAATACTTCAACCAAGTAATTTGCTGTCAATTTTCACCAATCAAATGTTACATCTGAGGATATAAATAGCTTGAGGTTATCACTTCGTCTAGCCATGGAAACTCAGGACAAATTGCGCTCCTTTAAGCTGGTCGAGTCACCGTTGTGTCACTCCGCGGCACTGATCCTTAACAGAATAAGTATACTACGCTGAATAATTTACAGGCATTTCTGTTGTTGTATGCGGATTCTGTACCGAATAATGTAAGTTCTCACATAAAGGTTGGGGCTGACAGCGGACGGGGTGGAAAACGACGAAGCGGCGTGAGCAGTTAAAAAGTGCTCGCTAGGCCACTAGTTTAATTCAATGGCACTGTATGAGACCTTTATTATCAAGTACATTACATCTTGCTCACGTCGCGTCGTCGTTCCCGCCCCGTCCGCTGTCACCCCCAACCTTGTTTTGAAGACTTTCCTCGTTTTGGTTCTCTTGTCTACCTATTTCTTGAGTTATTTTATCTTCTGATTACATTAGTTGTAAAAACCAAAATGCCTAGCTAGTTATCTCTATACGTTACAATGAGTATTTTAGTCCACTTTTCTTGACTTTGGCTTACAAGAGTCTGAGTCTTATGTATGTATATGCAAAGGAAAGTATATTGGTGATATAAATAATTTGGTGATTTACACACACACACACACACACACACACACACACACACACACACACACACACACACACACACACACACACACACATACACACATATAATACCACCACACAAACGAACACATTTAAGAGACAGCACTAGGGAATTAGAATTTATGTTAACTGCGCTTGAACACTTCTTCACCTTTTTCAATAATATTGTAACTAAACTTTTTGTCCATATCACCAAATTACTTATATCACCAATATACTTTCCTTTACCCATATAGATTTATGACAAAATTTAATAAATAATACAACGAAATTCTCTTTCTTATTTTCATAATCTCATAAAAGGTTTTAGTATTATGGTTATCGTAGTTTTGCAAAAGAATCTACCTAACGTAAGTTAAAATATCTATTTAGGTTGTATTTATCCATTGTGACATCACTCCATGTCCTGTGATACCTCTCTACTTATGGGGTAAACGAATTTTGAAATCATTACTACCTTATCACACAAACCCCAAAAATGTTTCTTAGTTTGGTCTATTGATGGTCTGGTGGACGAAAACTAATTTATTTTACTTTCTTTGAATGGCATCTATCATTGCTTTTATGCCTTTAGCTTCAGTGATTGTGAGGGGAAGATATCTATGAAGGTTATTATCGCGATCATATCATAAAACATCCACATTATAGGTGTATTGTATTCATGAGATGGTCAAAACTTAGATCAGGTTGTGTAGCAATTTCATCAATAATGGATCGAAAAGAGAGGAATAGGGCATTGCTAAAACCAGTTTATCTTTCTGTGTAAATAAAGCAAACAGCTTGTTGCGTTGAGTATGTTTCTTAGACTGAAATTTAAAACGCGATTTTGCTTACTAAATTACTGTTCAAAAACTTACAAAAACTTGAGACTGTTTATATGGCCTCAGTAGGTTGAGAATGAATAACCAATGAAGTATCTGTTTCTTTTACTCAAGTTTATATTAGCTATTGAAGAGCTTAAGGTCTGTTTTCAAAATAGAAACTTGGAAAACTTTTTTCTGCAGACCAACATAATTTAAATAGAAAAAGTCTGATGTCTTTTTTGTTTGTGTGTCTATTTAGATAGATACGAACACGTTCGCTAAGTATCTGCTTCGTTTAAGTCTCGAAAACTCAAACCCAATTATCATAACCTTGAAAGTTTAGCGTTCCATGATATATAATTACGTATATGTACAGGAATTATCGCGGTCCTTAGTATTACATCCCTTTGAATTTGACTTTTCGGCAAGGTTGCACGTATTATGGTCACATTCTGAGTCGGCTCATATAATATTGCTGTAGGGTACCTCAGGTCAAAAATTAGAATTTATGATAAGTAAGCTCTTGGCAAGTAAGTCTATCTTGTTTGATATTCCACATTAGTAAACATGCATTCAATGACAGATGGGATCCTGTTGTGATATTGACCTATTCTTTGTATCATTTTGTATCCAAGTGTCGTGTGAGAGTAACGAAATTCATAGAAACCAGAGTCGTAAACTTGTAAGATCAGCTGCAGCATGATAAGAAAGAAACTTCAGACCGGTGATTACCATTAGTATTGACAATGGGTTCATTTTCATCTATTTTTTATAATGGTGTTTATTAATTTATTTATTTTCACTTGCATATTAGTTATAACTTTTCCTTCTCTTCCTTCATCATACCGTATGTAAAATGTTTTCGTATTTTTTTGTAAAAGTAGTAGTGTAGTTTTGGGGTAGGTTGTCTTTTAATCCTTTTTATAAAAAAATACTGTTAATATAATTAAGGTGTAACATGTATGTAATTTAATTCAGTAAAAAGGCTAAGCGAAGGGCGCAAAATATTGCCTTTAAATATTATAAACAGTTGCAGTAGTTGTCTTATCAAAAACATTTCAATCAATAGAATTATATCTGTAATCGATCTGTAATTTTAAATAAATTTCATTTAGAAAAATGTCCCTAAATTAATTTATAATACGATATACCTTAAAGTAATTTATAAAAAATATTTTATACTTTAATAATGATTGAATTTACTTTAATTTTCAGGCATAACTCAGAACAGCCACCATGAGTCCGTTTTCCAGCAGAGCATGCAGCAGATTGACATCATCAACTCTGCAACGACTACACCAATCAGCCTCCTCGTCCAATCCCTCGTAAAACAACTCTGCTCTCTTCTTGAAAAAGACAATATTAGAGCGAACCAGCTATACAACACAATATGTGAAAAACTTCATAGTATGAATCTTATTGACGATTCCTACGCCATGGGTGAATTCGAAGCCATGAGGAGTCAATATCAGAGAGCCTTGTACCAACTCGTTGCTGTTGCTAACGGAACCGAAATACCAATAACTCTACCAGTTACATGGCCAATAGTTCAACCTTCAGGTCTGGAATGGTCGAGATACCACCGAGAGTTCGAGGAATTATACTTCATAGCTGGTGGCGGTTTCGGAAGTGTATTTAAAGCTCGCCATAGACTAGACGGTGTTGAATATGCAGTGAAAAAAGTGTTCATTAAGTCGTCAGATGTCAACTCAATTATGCTGCATTTGTCGGAGGTGAAAACCATTGCAAGTCTAAACCATCCCAATATAGTAAACTACAAAGCTGCTTGGTTGGAACCGATGATAGAATCCAACATTAAGAAAAGATGCAAATTTGAAATGGATACAGACAGCGTAGAATTTGATACCAATATATCCTCTGTTCACCCCAACTTTATAAACTCTTTCAAAACTCACAACTCAAAAGATTTAATAACAGACAAGAGCCTGTCTGACTTAAGTATACAGTTTAAGAATTCAGACAGTTTCGAATTGGAATTCGAGAATAACGATAACTCTCGTTCAATTGAAGATTTAGAAAATTCCGACGACGAGTGTACTTCACCGGAAGAGGAGAATGCCGTCGCCAATTTTTACTCCGGTGAAGAATTCGAGAATTGCTCCCGAGTTAATCTTAAATGGGCCACTCTGTATATCCAGATGACTTACTGCCAGCAAACTTTAAAAGAGTGGCTGGATAACAGGAATCAACACATGACGATTTCGAGGAAAGGTTCTGAGGATTTTACTCTACATCACAGCGACTCGACTGAATCAGCTTGTCTCGAATCTCCTGATGTGACTTACCCAATAGATTTGACCCATATCGATGTTCTTATTGATATGTTCACGCAATTGGTTAAGGGGCTTCACTATATTCATTCCCGTGGAATAATTCACCACGATATTAAGCCTAGTAATGTGTTTGTGGCTAAGAGTGAAGTCGGTTGTACCGTCCAACTGGGAGACTTTGGCTTGGCATGTCCATTGCAGCAATCTCACAGTGGTCTTGCTCTGGGAACTCATTTATATGCAGCTCCTGAACAATTAGAAGGGGACTGTAATCCTAAGGTAAGTTGGCCAACTAATAATCTGCGTCTAATCATCATTTAATTGTTAAAAGAAACCAATATTGAATAACAACTCATTTAAAAACAGAATTATAAATCAGTTCACAAAAGAAGAAGATACTGCGTGTATCGCGTAGTACTTATACACACAGAACATCAAAAGGACCTCCTGATTTGTTTATATGTGTGTTATTTCGCTTTTAAAAAAGATTTAAAAAAATCTAAATATCTACTACGTACTACGCAATGGTGATATCATACACCACGTTTAAAATTACGGTACAAAATCAAGGCGATTTTTCTACATCTATGTATTAATTTTTCATTCCAGTATGAAGTTTAAATGCACATCAAAAAATTATCACCCGCCAACTTATGTACATCAAATAAATATTTTGTCATCAAAATAATTGTTGTAATACAAACAAACCACATTCTTAACTACTAAAATAATCCCAAAATATGAATAAATTATATTTTTTCCTCTATGCTCGACAAAAAAGTTGTCTCCGGTACGAAAATATATTATTTTCATAATAAATATACAAGATTGAATTTCAAATTAACCAGAGCGTACAAACGTTATGCACTTACAAATTATAACTGAGTAACTATGTATATTCGTGCAACCCGGACGGGTTACGCTGGCCACACGGTTGACGGTGGTATAGTAGGCCAATACCTATTTTTTTAAGGTTTGAGGCGACCCCGTCAGAAACTGCTTCCAAAAAAGTAGGTTAAGTTAGAACCTTACAAGTAAACAAATCACTATCAGAAACGAGCTGTAACCAGAATAGTACATTAGGTTATAAATAAGTTCCGCTTTACAAATAATAGCAATACGTCACGAACTCAAATTGTTGTCTGAAGACTGAAGGACAACTTCTTGGCTATGAGAGAAAGAGAGAAAGTAAATGTGTGCTCGCACCTCTCTCACTTGCCCCTACAGAAATATACGAAACGTAACTCTCTCTCTATCTTCAGGAACTTATATCTCCCTCTCAACTTCCGTTCGCCTCGCCCGGTCACACTTTTCGTAACGCTCTCGTCACGCATTCACCAACTTACTCCCCAAGTCAAGCGTGCGTAAAGAAGTTTTACTTCAAAAACAGAACGTTCTGTATGAAGGAACTATATATAGTCGAGTTAATCGATTTAGGTCATGCGTTATTACGCTTTATCTAAATTACTTATAAGGACGACCTATAGTTAAACCGCCGTAAGCTTGGCCCTCCTGATGGTTTGCGGGACGCGGGGCGGGTGATGCGCTCGGCTATACATGACAAGATGTACCAACTCGATATCTTCAGATTTATTTGTTTGAGATTTAATCTACACACGATGTAATAAAAAACGAATTTATTTCCATGTATTATAATGTCGGTGTATTGTAAGTTTTTATGATTAATTGTAAAATTTAATACTGTAAAATAATTTTAATAAAATCACCTTATCTTCATCATGTAAATTATATTCAGATATAATTTAAAAATTAAGTAAAATAATAAATATTCTTTATTAGAACTTTAACAGTAGAACCTCTGTAAGCCGAACTTCAAGTTTTTAAATCTTTTTGTGACGCAGAGTCGGCAGATTATCCATGTTGCAAAATAATACCGTGTGTAGCAGTCTTAAGAAAAATAACACGTACAGCCATACTTTCACGTCAGTCACTGCCGGCGGACAGCGACGCACTAGCTAATTGGTTGAATGCACCCCCGCCCCGCGTCCCCCAAACCATCAGGAGGGCCAAGCTTACGGCGGTTTAACTATAGTAAAATAAAATAGTGAATACAGTAAACGATTACTGACAAAAAATAATGATAAGATTTTTAGGATATCTGATTACCATTTTTAAACAATTCTTCCATGAATCAAACGAAAAGTATACTGCCCAATGGTTGATATTAGTAAGTTGCATGGGTGGTGCTGGCATTTTCATTGCTCGATTCAAGATAGGTACTTACTGTATAATTCGTTGTGACTGCGTTAGATGGCGTTACAGTATAATTTTCGTTGCATGTAAAAATCGAAACAGTAGTTATGAAGAACATAGAGCATTACAAATTTAAAGATACTCAATGTTTTTTTACTAATTATTCCTTTTTTTATTTCCAGAGCGACATGTACAGTCTTGGCATAATACTTTTAGAAATGGTGGAACCGTTCAGCACAGATATGGAACGAGTAAAAACCATCACAGATCTCCGAAAAGGCCAAATCCCAGCGCACCTGACTGCGAACTATCCAAAAATCGCCCATATTATAGGCAAACTTGTTCAACGCCGACCTGGCAAGAGACTTGACACTACCCAACTGCTAGAAGAACTGAAGAATCTAGCAGAAAATAAAGACAATACAATTAAGTTATTGAAAGAGGAATTGGCTGCAAAGGATGACGAGATAGCCAAATTAAAGATGATGTTAGCTAAACTCAATTTTCAATGAGTGTACCTATTATAGTATTATTTCTAAGACTTGTGTGATTTTAAATACACTTAATTTATCATAATTTGTTTTTTTTTATTTAATTTGATTTTTTATTTTGATTTTTTGATTTGATTTGATTTATTTATAACTAATATAAACATCCCTACTCCCGAAACCTTCTTTAACAATATAAAATAGTTTGCAGACAGAACAGAGCAGAAGGTAAACTGGGGTAAGAAAAAGAGAAAGGTCGAAGGATCCTAGGGTAAAGAATACCAGGAAGTTTCATATAGGAAGCGGAACTGCAACTGTCTTTGGAGGCCATTAACCATTATGATGTATAATGAACGTAATAAATAATAACAATATAATTTCTAGTTCCATAGCATAAGTTCTGGTAATGAAATAATGTGAGTGACACTTAAAAGGAGGGAAACCTTTAACTTTATTTACATCTTGTTGTCACGATTTCCACTCTTCAATTAAAAAAAATCTGCATCATTGTTTTCTGGTACATCGTTTTTAGTGACTATGTTCTTGAGTAACTTACGAGCCATGCTTTTTTTACAAAACTTATATTATGTCGCCTACAATCAGTAATGAACTGAACATAGAGTTTAAATCGATTACTAGTACCAGGCCGGGCTCTCTCCACGCTCGGCATGAAGCTACAAGTACGCGGCGAGCTCGTTTCATCGGAGTAATTTCAATTAGAACACCTATTGTGGCGTTCGATTCGCATGTTCATACATACATACATAAACTTAGTATACATAAGAACGCACGGCGTTAAATCATTTTAACGCCGTGCGTTCTTATGTATACTAAGTTTCGGCTTATTAGTTTTTCCTTTTTAAGGAGAGGCCCATGTCCAGCAGTGGACTACTATAGGCTGTCGATGATGATGATGAAGGTTTTGCGAGTGTTTTAGTTTTTACTACTGCAATAAATATAGGAAAGACTATTAATAGACTAGGTTTTAATCCAAATGTGAGATTACTAAACAACTTATCAATAATAAAAAATGAATGATGCTAACTTCATCTGCCTTAAAATCCGAACACTCAAATATGCACCAAAAAGTTTTTTTACATATTCATCGTTACAGAAGCACATTATTTTATCGCTTAGAGATTGATAGCTTGTGGTTTTTGTGTCCTACGACGTATGGTAACCGGCTCGGATCTTGGGGACCTTCACCTGCGCAGAAGTCGATTTTTAGGTCTCTTTGGTGGTATGAGGTAGGTAGGACGGGGGCAATTACATCATACGTCGGCCAGTGATTGGCTCACAGATATTGTCGGTGCTCTTGATTCGTTTTCTCGTATTGAACGACGAACAGTTAACTTCGGAATTAATTAATAGGAGTCTTTCTTTTTCATCAATAATTTAAAAATTTCTACTTTCGCTCTTCAGCAATGTAATTTATTGTAGTTGATAATTGGGAGTTTTATGTAAATGTATTAGATAGCATAATGTACTCCCTAATATGTACCTATATAACAATAAATGACATGACGATGAAGAAGAAATGGCTACTGTAAGTACCTACCAGTACCAGCTTAGTTCACCGTAATTATTTTATAATGAAAATATTTGTTAAGCAAAAATAAATACCAGTTTGCTTTTTCATTAATAATTAAAACCATTTTATCATACCATAGAATTAATAAAAAGTTGCGTAGTAACTTTAGTAACTCATATTTTTTTTAAATAATAATAAAAACTTATTATTGATTCTATGGTTCTGATATATTTCTATTCTATTCTAACTAAGAAAAATAATAAATGTGTGTGCATTTTATTTCGCCACAAGTGCACGATGCGCAATGCGATCCCCACTCTGCCACCGAGCGTTGTGAGCTGCAATTCAAGAACCCTAAATAAGAGGATACCCACCGCTGGACATAGGCCTTCGTCTAATACTGACAAAGAAGACCATTATGAAGAAGTCTGCATGTATCGATGGCGTGAGTAAGTGAAACGACTATTTAAATTTCATTATCAAATCTTTATTTACAAAATCTAACACACATATTATATAAATTATTACCTTAATCTAGCGTTATTTACAGTCTTACCAGTTAATTTTAATTCTATTATGCAATTCCGTGCATTCTAGTGCGCGGTTGGCGGGCGAATGCGCTCGGAGCTTCATTGAAGCCAATGGGTGAAGCGCGGATGCGGGTTACAGGATCGCGTCTACTGCGTGGATGACGCCATTCGTCGCAGGAATGTTGTGTGTTATCACTTGGGCATTATTTACTTTGATACGACCTGGAAATATAAATGAAGTATTATTATTTATTTATTGATGGTAAACTCAAGATTAAATATAAAAATTCTGGTGGGAAATTCAAGCATTTCTATTTGTTTTTTGAGGTGGAATGAGCTTCGTTTGAACTTTTACTGTAACTTAAAGCGGCGGAGTAGCGGGGTCCTCGTCGTTAGTATAAAGTTCAGAAATAAGTTGACGCCAAAACCTCCTTTCTAAGGAGAGGCCTATGTCCAGCAGTGGACTAGTAATGATGATGATGAGTCCCACAAAATAGTGAGCCAACTTATATGTGTTTAGTCTCATGTATAAAGAGTATATGGCGAGAAAGAGTATGCGATACACAAGTTCTGGACTGAAAGTATGCGAGTTATACAATGCCTTAACCTAATACCTGTGTTAAGAGTAAGAGATGGTCCACTTCTCTGATTCCTGGTCTAAATACTTTAACTTTAGGCATAACCAGCACCGTAGCTATATTTACGACATACAATAATAATTATCTGATACGCTTTATAGTAGAGATAGAGTGGTTTTTAAAACTTACCCGAACTTTTCTGAAGAGTCAACGGTTTACTGTCTTCCATGGAGTTTCTGAGTTGGTAGTACCTCATACCAGCACTGTACAGAGTACCAGGCAGAACGTGTCTTGCTACCAACGCCTTGGCTCCTGCTTTGTCAGCAAACTGATCTAGGTCAGATGCCGATAAGCGAGCGAATGCTGCATCCGTTGGTGCGAATACCGTGTAGGTTTTGCTTTCTGGAAAATCCGAAAGTTAAATAAAATGAGAGAGATTTCTTAATAATATGAGGAAATAACAAATGCTAATAGTATACTATAGAAAGCTTATTTTTGAAGGTCGTTAAAATAGGTTAATAGTGGCTGTCTAATCCGTGTGGTGACGGATTAAGAATACGGAATATCAGTACCCGTATTCATCCCATGGGTGTCGCAAGAACCGAGTAAGGGAGCAAGCCACGCTGGACAACAGCTCTGCAATAAAAAGAAAACTTGGAACAAACCCTATACAACCGTGGTATAGTAGGCCAAAACCTCCTTTCTTAGGAGAGGCCTAGGTATGTCCAGTAGTTGACTATTAAAGGCTGTTGATGATGAATGAATGATGACATAATGCAAGTTATTAAGAAAATATGAGGCTTTACACAGATATGCCTTAGTTGGATATTTTGTTAGTGAAAACATTAACTTTGTGAGAAACCCGTGTACAACAAAGATGGGAAAATGGTTAAATAATTATAATAAAAATATTTTTTTCTCACCCTGTGACTAGTTACATTTTATCGTAGTCCCTAAAGTGTGCCAAGCAGTCATAATTGCTACGTTTTATATTTAACTTAGTGATCACAACAAGGCTAAACTGAAGAATAGGGCAGTCTTAAAAATACTTTATTTTTACCTTTATATTCACTAGACAGGTCTGTTACCTATAAAAACCTCTGTAGTTGTGATCTCGCTTGAAATAAAAAGCCAAAAAATTGACCTGAAGTACTTCTTATAACATCAGCTTTCTGTCTTTGAAAATGTGTGCACATTTTTAATGTATGTTCTCGAAATGTGGGTAGCCCCGTAGCTACCCGACATTTCAATAGGTACTTATTATATTTACACATAAACACTCACCAGTAAATCCTAATACTTACTATGTATAAGCTTACTTCCTTACTTCAAATATGTAGACATATGCATATACAACATGATTGGGTAGGCATGTATACATGTAAACCTACCTTTATTAAAACCACTGCGAAGATAAACAAACACAAAATGTGGTCTTCAGTTACGCAATGACTTTTAAAATAAGATGCAACGTGAAAGTTTAAAATATGACAACTAACATTCTTTTTACCATTTGTCATTATTAACTCGTTTGTTGTTTGTTTGTTACCTTAAAAATCTAATTAATTTACCTATTAGGGAAATCATGTTTTATTTGGAAGGGCTTCCTGTTCCAATATTCAAATTCGAAGAAAAGTAACACCCTAAGAGGAATGAATAATAAAGGTTATTATACCAGACTAAACCTCCTTTCTAAGGAGAGGCCTATGTCTAGCGGTAGACTGTTAAAGGCTGTTCATGTGATGTGATAGTGTACAGACTGGCCTAGTGGTAAGTGATTCTGTTTGCTAAGTCAGAGGTCGTGGGGTCAATTCCCGCCCAGGAAAAATAATTGAGTGATGAGCACGATCATTTGTTTTGTGTTTGAGTATAATTTATCCATGATATATGTATTTATTTAGAAATATATGAGTATGTTTATCGGAAGTCTGGTTACCAAACCAAAGGGTCCGCCTAGTTTTAGATCAGACGGCCGTGTGTGAGATATATAAGGTTATTATTATTATTCACAAAATGTAGGCTCACTGAAGTCGGTGATATTGTTTCCGGGTTTGGGGGAAAAGAAGGTTTTATAAGTGTACGTTACCAGCAAGTGTATCTGCGAAGCCGCTGGTCTGGATTGCTTTCAAGAATGTGGTGAACCGTCTGTCTCTATCTGCCTGTAGTGTTTGTACCAGATCTCCAACAGGCAGCGGGAACATCACGCGGTCTATTGCATGTGCTATACCCTGTAAATAAAGTTATTTATTTAGATGATTGGTGAACTGGTGCTTTAGACAGAAATCGAATTTGGACTTAAATTGAATAGATTATAATTTGATTTTTATTTTATATTTAGGAGGTCTGTAACCACAGTGATTAGTGATCAGGACAATAATTGTGCAATGATCAAGATCATTGTGATAATGTCAGCATTCCGGTGACCGTAGTACCTACAGGCTCACGACCGTCTGTAGTCTGGCCTCTGCCTTGTTTGGCATCAGACTCGTCATCAGGGTCGTGTGCGGGATGTATCAAACCAATAACAGGTGCAAATTATATCGACACTATAATCTATTATTAAGTTGAAGAGTTTTTTTTTGTTAAAATATTTGTTAATTTTATTGAGTACGCAAACAGATATCAAATGTCTGGGAGGACGGCTTTTCAATAATGCCTTAAATCAATAACCGGACGGAAATATGCGGATGAATTAGATGAGTTTTTAAAAGAGCCAAAAGGAAAAGTAAATCAGTCGGGTTAGAAATTAATAAATAAAAGGAGAAATACGATAATTACTAACTCGGAATAGATAACATATTATATTTTTAGTAATTTATAGAGACCTATTATAATAATTAACAGAGAACCGAATCAAGACCTAAAATTTGCACGTTTAAAAAAAATGTTAAAGTATCCACAACTCTAAAGAAATAATCAGTGTTGCCAACAAAATAAAAAGTAGTTTTGCGAATGCGATTCTGAATGCGTGTGCGTTAATGTGACTTTCACAAGAAGTAATTTGTTGTCAAGATGAATACAGTATTTTTCACTTGGTTCTAATGAAATGTTATAGGAAATTTTGACTATTAGTTAATCATACAATTTAGTTTTTTCTAACACTTCAATATGTAAACTTACGAAGAGGAACTAGTGCAGAACTAAATCATGTTGAATATGCAAAACTAATCAAATACATCATAATTATGGTCTTGTTAGAATTTTTAATTGTGGCTAAGTTCCATGTTATTAATTTACTAATAGATTTTTTAACTAAATTCTTTTATATTAAAAGCGAGTAGCTATTTATTCCTATATGTTCCTGATTATTAATAGGTAGATAGAATATTCTTTCGAAGATTTCTAAGAATTATTTTGTATTTAGTTTCTTAAAATTACATAATAATATATTAAATATTAAACTTGTCATGAAACTACAGACTCAACATACAACAAAATACAACATACATATTTTTGAATAAAGAAAAGTAAATAACCTGTGGTATATGAATATCCTTCTTTTCATCCAGCACCCTGGCTCCGTTGATAGTGGTGACGCGCACTTCGTTCCATTCTGCGTCATGTAGATCGTACTGGTTGACCCTGAGCTGCGTGCCTGCTAGAGAAACTCCTGTCATCTCGTCTTGAAGGGACCCTACATCGAAGGCACCAGGTATCACGTGATGCAAAAGGAGCTGAAATAGTAATTAGATTAAAGTTAAACGATGGGCTTTCAAAATAGTAATCAAAATAAATTAATTTTCTATACAACTTTTGTAAATTAGCCATAGAGTAAGGTTAAATGTTTAAAAAATCTATGATTACTTACACCGCTGAGCAACCTTGGGTTGTCTCGGAATTTCTCCTCGGCCTTATCAGGACCTCCAAGCTGAACCAAGAGAGTTCTAAAAGCCTTGTCTGTGGGGACGAAAATAGTGTACGGACCGGTCTCATTCAAGATGGTGTCTAGGCCTGACTGGCGCAAATATTTCGCAGTTGCAAAAAGCCCATTATCTTTCAAAATATCCACGAGTCCAGGAATCGTTGATTGAGCTTGCCTTGCAGTACCGCTCGCTTCACTCAGACTGGGAGCAATGGTACTGGATCCAATCACGACTAAATCTTTCTCAGATGAACGGTAAGGGGTGGTATTCAAAATTGTTGACAAAGTAGAACTGGGATAAGTTAATCTGGGACTTTGACTGATGCTATTTCTGGAAGTGAATTCGTCAGCTGGTGTACTTGATTTCGTGATGTACCGTTCAGTGCTAGTAGTGCCAATCGTTGATGGAAAGTGAGTCTGCGTTTTAGCTTGAGTGCTTCGGGTAGAGTGAAAAGAGCTTTGGTAGGTCGGTGCTACTGTTGTATGTGTCACTGGAATAGTATGGCCAGTAGTACCGTGATTAGTAGTACTGACAAAGGTTGAGTAGCTTGGAGGGACATGGGACGAAGCAGCTACAAAATCAGTCGCTTCAGTTGTAGGTCGGGCAGTAGTTGATCCGTATATTGAGTTTGATATCTTGGTTTGTCCAGGCAATTGAATCTCACCGTTCTTTATTTTATTCAAAATATTTTCTACTTCAGGACCTTCCTCTGTTTGTTGGCCGTTAGCTTTAACACCCTTAACCTTGAAAGATCCATCGTCTTGTTCTTCCAAGAAAACAAAAGTAACTTTTTTCTTGTTATGAATTTCATTAGGTGCTTTCACCTCCTCTAATTTGCCGTTTTCAGCTTGTTTGATAAGCTCGAAGTTTGCGCCAGGGGGTAGGATACCTTTTGTTAAATCTTCAATTGAAACTCGTGTTTCTTTTTGTTGCTCGAGCTGAGCAGCAGCCATAATTTGAGCTAATTTTGAACTATCAGCTGAGATCGCGCCTTCAGGGATCAGATTTGGGTTCGTCGTCCTGATAACTTCAAATTTTTGTCCATTAAGCGATATTTCTCTAGATGTGAAATTTTTCTCAGAGAAGTCTTCAGGATTTTCAGCGAGAGCAACTTGGAGTTGTTTTAAAATATCTGGTTTTTTCAATAACTCGGCACTCTTGGCTCGTAAATTTTCGTCGAAGCCCTTAGTTTCACTTTCTTGCAAGAGGCTTTTAATTTCATTGTAAAGCTTTCGCTTATCTCTGTCCTGAGGAACATTTCTACTTTTTGTCTTTGGCCTAGGTCTGTACCTGGGCGTGGGTGGTGGCGGTGGAGTTGTAGTTGTCGTAGTTGTGGTGGTGGTTGTCGTCGTCGTTGATGTTGGATGTTCTTTTTCATACAATTCAACAGCCTTTTTGAATAGATTTGTCTCGTGCGGCAAAATTGGCCTTCGCCTTTCTACATTTCCTCTCCAATAGTTTGTGTAGGATTCAGTAGTCGAATAATTTGGGATCGATTTAGTAGCTTGCTTTTTAACGAACTCTTCATGTAATTTTTCCACTTTCTCTTGCTGCTTTTGCTGTTGTTTCTGTACGAACTCCTGGTGCTTCTGAATAATACGTGCTCTCTCTTGAAGTTCTTTTAGTTTTTCTAAATTTTCCTTAGATTGTTGCTCTAACAAATCTTCAATTCGGGATGACTGTCCGTTGGAGAAAAAAGGAGCTTGCCCTAAAGACGGTTGGAAAGGGAGCTGTGCGTTATTCAGATTAAAATTTTGAGGGCCTAGGTTAGGTGCAGGCTGTATGGTTATAGGGTTTGGATGACTGAAGATGGGTTGGTTGATAGGTTGATTGATGGGTTGGCCTTGTGTTGAAACAGTGGGTAAGAAAGCTTGCTGTGTAGGTCTCTGTGTCAAGCTGACAGGACTTGAAGGGATGTTTGTTTGGAAAGTATGTCCATTTTGTTGGATCGGAATTCCATTTTGGTAGGTTGGCAGCGTTGGTATGGCTGGAGGTAGTAAATTTTGTGTCTGATGCTGTCTTATGTCTTGCTGTGGCTGGAAGTTGTTCGAAAACACACTTGGGTTCACACTTGGTTGCGGATTGAATTGGAAGCTGCCTTGTGTTGGTAAGTTATTGTTTTGAAGCGGCAGGTTGTTAATGGGTGGTATGTTGTTGTTATTGAACTGAGGGACGTATTGCTGCTGTTGTTGTTGAGGGAAGTTGGATTGTTGGAACGGGACGTTAGGTGGAGGACTTGTAATGGCTGCAGGTAAGGGAGGGAAATTTTGAAGAGGAGAGCTTAGCCCGAATCTGGTTTGGTGCTCGTTGAACCCGGCGTGCGGTAGCGAGGCCTGTCTTCGTCTATCGAAGTCATTCTCTACCTGAAACAGAGGAAAAATAGAAATTAGCCAAAGAATATTTTGTGTGTTATCTCTGTAGACAAGTCAACATACACTTTAAATTTTAACTGATTTCAAAAAAGAAAGAGGTTCTCAATTCGGCAGTATTTTTGTTTGTTTGTTTGTTACCTCAAAACTTCGTTATTTATGAACCGATTTGGTTTTTTTTATTTGAGAGGATATACTACTCGTAAGAGTAATATATGGGGTAATGTAGAAAACAGGTTATTACTTTTTATGATGATGTTAGCGCATTGAAATAGTAGCAAAAGAAACAGATGATATGTCGATATACAAACGTAATGAATTAGTCAAGAATTGCTGTATTTTAATTACCCAACAAATAATTTTCGTGAATATATTTGCATATAAAACTAATACTGAGTACCGAATAATAACATTTATAAATTCTTATTTTTCTAAGTGTCAATTGCGAAAAGTTCAATAAACCGAATATATGACCCGGAAGCATCGTTATGAAACAAAACTTTATCATATTTCTGAGTCGCTTTTGAATAAACAATAATTCACACTGCAGAAAGTATTTACTACCAGCGACATTTACAAACAGTTCAGAATCTTATGTTTAGTAACTGGTGTGAATTGTTGCACAAATTAAATTGTCATATTATACATGGAAAGCAAGCTGCTTTACGAAATTGAATTGCAACTTGTTTCTGGTTGACGTCTCTTGCTGTGATATGAGAAATTTCTTATTTATGGTTGCAAAATTGAATTTAGAATAGGCGCTATTGTCATTATTTATGATTTATGCAAACACGAGTTATGCAAATTTTATTAGTGTATGTATTGTCTTAAACGCATATGCAATGCTTATTGTATGTTTAGTAGGTATAAATTAAGTAATATTAATTCATTTCAAGTTGTTGAAACTTTTGAAACAAAAATTACAAATGTTAGCATTTACAAATAACGCGCTAAGTTAGTTAGTTAATTAAGGCAGATCCATGCTACAATGGCGAGCCGTGGTGACGAACAATTCTTTCGAAGCTTTTCATAGAACAACCCTCTCCCCTCCTCTCAATCTGAGGGGGAAACTCAAAGGCCTGTCCCGTTGTGTCATTTAATTCATTCTTTTTAGGGCATACTATATTTGCCGAAAATGAGGAGTGAGGCTTCCCGACAGATATTTTGAACAGCCTCTGTGTATTGGAGTACCTAAACGGTGGGTCTCTCGAATTGCATGATGTGCTAGTGTTTAAAAGTGGTCCCTGATCTAACCAAGTTATCTCGGGCAGTTTAACGACTTCATTTCAATCCAACAAGCAAAACTCCATTCTGTCAACTCTGTGTGGTTTAGCCGTTTCGATTCCGATATCCCACTTCACTAGTAAAGTGTTATATCGGATGGATATTAGACTTCATTGGTGATCCGTGGAGATTCCATATGAAAGCAAGGAAAAGTATACTTAACAATTATACTCAAAAAATGTGGACTAAATGACGCGTTAACTCACAATATGGAACCAGAGCTCAAGAATGCGCTTTCTTGTCACCGAAGCGTCACGGACATAAGAATCTGTGCGAGATGCGAAACTGTCCGATTGCATATATGCTCTGTTAGGAAAAAAGTATAGGTACTGGAAAACTGTTAGTCTTTTCCGCTATGGTTCTGTATATTAAATTTTATAGTAATAAGTTGAGAGTTGACAAAAACATCACAGGTTAAAGGTGAATACAGGCCGTTTCCAACCGTTTTTTTTTTGGAATTTATAGGGCGGCTTATACGTGGCTTGGACCTCTTAGAAAAGACGAAGGCGTTACGTCTTTCAGAGTAATAATTTTATTGAACATCAGAGTAATTTAAGATTGAGTTTTAAAATTGAAATTGAGTTTTAAAATTGACGTCAAAAGAAATATAATCTTGTGTGGGTGATCTTTCTTTTTGCCGTCAGTATGTTAGTAGCTGGAACCTGGCCAGTTCTAGTTTATTCCAGACTCCATGCAACTACTAAATTTTGAAATCTAAGAATCCATTGAATTTTACTATAAACCACATATTATTGGATCATACTAACGTTTCAGCCAGTCGTCGCTCACGTAAAATCAATCATAGCATGCAATGCGAAGAAACAAACATTATGCTGTGTTTATTTACCATAAAGTTTATTCCTGCAGTATTAAAACTGCGATAGTAACTCATCATCATCTGCCTACCCTTTTAATTGGGGTCGGCGCAGTAAGTATAAATTCTATCATTCGTCATCTCACTGTTCACTCCCTTCCTAACCATATCCTTAATCACACAGTCGATCCACCTTTTCTTTGGTCTTCCTCTTCTCTTGTACCCTTCAACTCCCATACCTAACACTTTCTTCGCCACATTTTCCTCATCCCCTTCGCATGACATGACCATACCAAGATAACCTATTACCTCTTAACTTTTCATCCAGTGGCGCTACTTTCAGACTCCCTCGTATATACTCATGCCTTGTCCATCTTGGACCTTGTCCATCCGAGTCACACCACACATCCATCTCAACATTCGCATTTCGGCTACGTTCAGACGCCTCTCATCCGTTCTCTTAATGGGCCAACTTTCAGAACCATACAGGACGGCAGGTCTGATAATAGTTTTATAAATTTATCCCTTCAGTGTTAAGGGGAAACTGGGGTCACAAATTGTCCGTTACCTGCCGCCACTTCATCCACCCCGTATTGATTCGATGCTGTATAGTTCGATCAATCTTACCATCACATTGTAGGAGTGAGCCGAGGTACTTAAAATTGGATAATGATAAATTGCGATGGTAACTATGCAACTAATAAATACAAAAACATTAAATAACACTTCCCTGACTGTTCAACAAACCTACAGATACCTTTAATACCACTAAAACACCATTCACTCATCAATATCATATTAAAAATCATTTAAGAAAGTTCAGAGGCATTCACATTAAGAGAGGCACACAGTTGAATAGGCGGTGAAAATGATTATACAACATCGAGTAACAACTACGGTCGGCAAACTTTACTGCGTGTGAATAAATATTATCTAATATTTTTTACAACATTTGATGCGTTATCTGTATATACTGTGTAAACAGAATATCTTTATTCGTTAAGAAACTTGTTTGATCTCTCTTTTAAACAAATATGTTTCGGAAGTATATCATTTTTACAATACTTCTATACTTTATGTTTACATGTAGAAGAAGGGCACAAAACTGAACTTTTAAAATACATCACATCATCATCACATCACATCACATCACATCAGCCTTAAATAGTCCACTGCTAGACATCCATTGCTCCCTTAGTGGACTACACTTTGTATGATCCACAAATTGTCGTTCTGACTCTGGGTGTTGTGTCCGTTTCAGTTCAGTTAAAGTTCCCCTCGACACAGACTATATTTCAAGTGCGGGAGCTGTCTTAAAAAAGTATATATATTTGTTCTAGGTCGGAATCGAAGCCCTGACCTCAAACTTAACAGACAAGATGAAGAAGCCACTTGACCAACAGGTCAGTAACGTTAATAATATGACATCTTAATTAAAACAACACAAGGTTTAGGGAGTAATTTTTATAATTTCTCAATCTTTAATCTTACGCGACTTGTAATCATGCCACAGGTGTAGATTGCGACTTAATCTCGATAAAATTTGTAAGATCGCTTTATTCAATCGAAACGCTATCGTGTCTTACAATATAATAACAAATTTATCGTAATTAAGTCCTGATTTACACCCGTAATATACTTTTTAGTACAATTTTCATTATTGGAATACATTACAGTACATTTTAATTATGAACATAACCTTTTTGAACATGAATCAATCTTTTTTTTTAATAACCTTACACATCTCACACACGTCCGCCTGGTTCCAAACTAGGTGTACTATGGTAACCAGACTGCTGCTAAACATACATATATATTTCTAAATACATACACATCATAGATAAATTACACCCAGACACAGAACAAATGACTGTACTCATCACAAAAATATATGTCCTGGGTGGGAATCGAAGCCACGACATAGCAGTCAGGATCTATAACCGCTAGGCCAAGTCAAAATATAAAATAATAAAAGTTAAAAATATTTAATAATAAAAAAAGTAAACTTCCAATATACTTTTATAAATATTAACGTGCAAAAATACACGTACTAGGTATCTAGAATTTAATTAATACTTAATTATTTCTCGACTAATTATGTATAAATTAAGTAGTCTTTAAGCATGGTCCTAAATTTAAGTAGAAATCAACTAAAAGTTAGTTCTTTGAAAATAGTAGAAATCAGTCCGCGTGGTGACGAATTAAGAATACGGAATGTCACCACCCCTATTCATCCCGTGGGTGTCGTAAGAGACGACTAAGGGAGTAAACTACGCAGGACAACAGCACAGTAAAGAGAAGGAAAACTTGAAACAAACCCTATACCAACCCGTCTGGCCAGCGTGGTATAGTAGGCCAAAACCTCCTTTCTAAGGAAAGACCTATGTCCAGCAGTGGACTGTTTTAGGCTGTTGATGATGATAATGATGAGTTGTAGATGCTCCATTCATGAGCATATTTATAGTAGTAACTAGGATCTTCTAGTCACCAGTAAGACTCGGTCTTGACATACTTGTTTGTTAACTATGTTATGACGGACACAGAGAATGCACACTTGTACACTTGATCATTAAAAAAAATAGAAATTAATTGTAATTAACCTTATAAATATAATTATAGCAAATAAGTGAAATAAAATCATCTAAAACCAAGTTTTTATTTTTGTGCCTTATATATTTTTTTTTTTAATCGTTGTTTATAGCTCTCTCTCAGTTTTTTTTATATTAATATGATTTAGACTGTGGTTTTTATAAAAAAAACAAATGAAAATAGACCAAGTAATTAACAATGTTTGTGTGGTGAAATACGGAGTGTCACCACCCCTATTCATCCCTTGGGTGTTGTAAGAGCCGACTAAGGGAGCAAATTACGCAGGACAATGGCACTGCAAAGAGATGGAAAACTTGACTCAAACCCTATACCAACCCGTCTGGCCAGCGTGGTATTAGGCTAAAACCTTCTTTCTAAGGAGAGGCCTATGTCCATACTCAAGCAGAGGACTGTTAAAGGCTGTTTATTGACTGATTGAAGTTATAACTAAGCTAATTTAGTTTCTAACTAAGTTAGCTGCGCTTAGTATCTTAATACTAGTCAGATTTTAGATCACCGACGTGCGTTTTGAATACGTGTGTATGCGCACACACGTATTTAAAACGCACGTCGGTGTGTGTGTGTGTGTGTGTGAATGTGTGACGAATGGGTGACGTCATTTCGGTGAAATTGCGACGAGTCTATTATTTACATTGATGATAGATACTTACACTTTTTAAAGACATAGTTACGTGACGTGTTTATGGTTTCTTTAAGTATTTACTTAAGCATACATAAAAGATTTTAAGTACCTATTTTATTTGTTTACACAATATGAATCTGGACCAATCTTTTTTTTGTTGACGGGTTGGAAAGTCCTCCTCCTCGGGGACTCAGGAGGAGGACCTCAAATTAAATGGTCTGGGAGGACCCGGATCATGTTATTTCAGGTCCTCCCGGACCAAGAACCCCGAGGAGACCTAAAATAACCGACTTAATCTATTGTCTGACCGATTAAAATTAATATTTCCAGGCTATAAATTAGCTCGGTAACCTGACGACCCACATTGTTTAAATTATTATTAAGTTTCGTCTTAGCAGATCTTATCCGATCAAGGTTACCACATCATGGAAATATGTACATCAAATTTCAAATCAATAGTAGTTGTGTAAGATAGTGAAATCCATTTATCAACTAATGAGCTGATGATCTTCACAGATTATAGCTAATAACCATCTCGACGTTAGCTTTCTAACAAAAAAATCGCATCCTAATCGGTCCATTCGTTTAGGAGCTACGATGCCATAGACAAGTCAACCTTATAACACCGCTCTTCTGGATTGTTATGTAAAAAAACTATTTATTATTATTGATGTAGGGTATACTAGTTCTAGATTCGATATAAGCTATAAACATTCTATAACTTTTATAGTTGATTGGCGGCCACAACTTTCGCTTCATTAAAATTAAAGTTTATTACAAACGAGTATGACGAACTCGGATGCTATGTGAATAACAATGGTGTGTGGTTTCCACAAAATGAAGAAAGTTCACTTTCCGTCGGCTGCCTTTATAATGTGACACCTCACCTGCATACAGACTCTAAAATTGAAGTAATTCTACGATTCTTATGAATGACAAGCTTGGAAGAATAAATTGCGTCGTTTGCCGCGTTTAATTTGAAGATAGAACCGACATAATTATTCTTCGCGCTCAAATCGATATCTAGATTTTACAAACGTCAAGTTCATTTTGTTGATTTTATAATATTGTTAATAATTTTCAAGAAACCAGGTTTTGTAAGTTTATAATCCACTTTTTATCTACTAATGTAAAAGGGACCACCACCACCAAAGAAACCACCTAGGACAAATACCTAATTGTGTGATGAGCACTATCATTAAGGCGCGCTATTTCATGCACAGTTTAAAAATTATAATAATCATATGGAAGTA